TAAAGATGTCTTAGAACTAATTCGTACAGACATATGTGGGCCATTTCTTACAGCTTCTTGGAATGGTCAAACATATTTTATTACGTTCATAGATGATTATTCACGTTATGGCTACCTTTTTCTCATTAATGAGAAGTCTCAGGCTCTAGGCGTGTTCAAAAGTTTTAAGGCCGAAGTTGAAAATCAACTAGGCAAAAGAATTAAGGTAGTTAGATAGGATCGTGGTGGTGAATACTACGGTAGATATGACGGATCAGGTGAACAACGTCTAGGGCCATTTGCTAATTTCCTAGACGAGTGTGGAATCGTCCCACAATACACCATTCCTGGTAGTCCTACTATGAATGGTGTTGCTGAAAGACGAAACAGGACACTAAAGGATATGATGAGGAGTATGATTAGTCGTACTACTTTGCCAAACTCGCTTTGGGGAGAGTCATTAAAGACTGCAACATACATTCTTAACAGAGTTCCAACTAAAGCAACAGTCAAAACTCCTTATGAATTATGGACTGGCAAAAAGCCTAGTATTAATCACTTACACATTTGGGGTTGTCCAGCTGAGGCAAGGCCTTATAGGCCTCATGCAAAGAAACTGGACTCAAGAACGATTAGTTGTTATTTTGTTGGGTACGCTGAAAGGTCTAGGGGATATAAGTTTTATGATCCCAAAAGTAAGTCCTTCTTTGAGACGGGAAATGCCCAGTTCTTTGAGGATATTGAGTTTGAAGGGGAAGATAAAGTTAAAGATTTTGTCCTTGAAGAGGAATTAGTTTCTCTTCCTAAAGTTGCTATCCCTGAGATTGTTCCTGAAACAATTCAAGAGATGCAAGGCAATGATGATTTCCCTCATCAAGGTCAACAGGATATTCCAGAATATCAAACTCAACAGCCTCAAGAACAAATACCATTAAGGAGGTCCTCTAGAGAAAGGAGAAATGCAATTCCAGATGAATATGTTGTCTTTCTCCTTGAACATGAGGAAAATAGTGGATTGACTGATGATGATCCAATCAACTTTAGTCAAGCCATTAAAAGTACCAATTCTCAAAAGTGGATTGATGCCATGAATGAGGAAATTAAATCCATGAGAGACAATGACGTTTGGGATCTTGTCACATTGCCTAAAGGTGCGAAACCCATTAGTTGCAAATGGATATTTAAGACCAAAAGGGATTCAAAAGGTAATGTGGAAAGATATAAGGCTCGTCTTGTCGCTAAAGGATTTACTCAGAAGGAAGGCATCGACTATACGGAGACTTTCTCTCCAGTATCATTGAAAGACTCTTTTAGGATTTTAATGGCACTAGTGGCACATTTTGATCTTGAGCTACATCAGATGGATGTTAAGACAGCGTTTCTTAATGGAGACCTTGATGAAACGATTTATATGGTGCAACCTGAAAAACTTTGTTTCTAAAGATTCAGATCACATAGTTTGCAAACTAAAGAAATCCATCTATGGGCTTAAACAGGCATCCCGTCAATGGTATCGCAAATTTCATCAAGTTATAACCTCTTTTGGTTTTGAGGTAAATTTGGTGGAAGATTGTGTATATCATAAGTTCATTGGGAGTAAGCACATTCTCCTGGTTCTGTATGTTGACGACATACTACTAGCCTGCAACGATATAGGCTTATTGCACGGAACCAAGAAATTTCTATCAAAGAATTTTGAAATGAAAGATCTTGGTGATGCTTCTTTTGTGTTAGGTATTCAGATACTCCGGGATCGCTCTCGGGGCATACTTCAGTTGTCATAAAAGACCTATATCGAAAAAATTCTTAAGAGATTTGGAATTCAGGATAGTAAACCATGTGATACCCCTACCTCTAAAGGAGACAAATTTTGTCTCGAACAATGCCTTAAGAATGATTTTGAGAAAAAGGAAATGCAAAAGGTTCCTTATGCTTCGGCTGTAGGAAGTCTTATGTATGCTACCATTTGTACGCGTCCAGATATTGCGTACATTAGTGGAGTTTTAGGCAGATTTTTAAGCAATCCAGGTTTGGATCATTGGACAGCAGCCAAAAGGGTTATGCGGTATCTTCGAGGAACTAAAGATCATATGCTCACATACAGGAGGTCGGATCAGTTAGAGGTCATTGGGTACTCCGACTCAGATTATAATGGATGCCCTAACAGTTTTAGATCCACTTAAGGCTACATTTACATGTTAGCCGGAGGAGCTGTTTCCTGGAAAAGTGTTAAACAAACACTTATAGCTACTTCAACTATGGCAGCTGAATATATAGCTTGTTTTGAGGCATCCAATCATGAAATATGGTTGCGAAACTTTGTCACAGGGCTGCAAATTATAGATGGTATTGACAGACCACTTAGATTATTTTGTGACAATAAAGCAGCTGTTGAATTTTCTAACAACAATAGGAGCTCTACCAAGTCTAAGCATATAGACATTAAGTACCTAGTTGTTAGAGAAAGAGTTCAGATTGGTCAGATTTCTATAGAGCGCATTGGGACAAACTCCAATATTGCAGATCCATTTACCAAGGGTTTACCACCCAAAGTCTTTCTTGAGCACACTGCTAAAATGGGTGTTCTTTTGTCTTAGGATATGTCAGATCAGTGGGAATTTGTAATTTATGTTTTGTTTATGGATATTTGGTTTTAATGTTGCAGCATAAAGCATACAGTTTAAAGTTCTAAAGTTTCATTTTGGTGTGCTAACATTCTGATTTTATATTTGATCTCATTAAAGATTAAGTAGGACCAGTTGAAAATAGACATGTTACAGATCACATTACATGTAATTTCCATGCTACACGTCCACACTTGATCCATGTCATTTAGTTATATTAATGTGTGTGACCACTGATGGGTTTAGTTGTCATTCGTACAATGATTGCCCCTTTGATCCTATGCTAATATAATTAATGGACGGGATTGTTTAAGTTACTTTATGATAGCAAATTATGTGCGCTCTTAAGTTTACAGTGTAATATACAATTATAAAGAATATGTTTGGTATATAGTCCAAGTGGGAGATTGTAAGGTTATTTTGGACTTATACACTAAACATATAATTGTATATTATATGCTATCATAAAATATAGCCCAATTAAAAGTGATCTAAATTATATTAACTAAAGTTTTGGGCTACTTATTAATTAAGTTAAAGTTGTGGACATCATTGTGTAGAAACCTAAAAGACCAGGGTTCTTTTTTGTGATGGGTGGAAAAGAAACCCTACTACTGTATAACTGGTTGTTGTCCCCGGATGAGTCTTTACACCATTAAAACTGCCTCCCCATTTGTCAGTTTGAGAACTCACGTTCTTTACCTGGATAAAGAAATCATCTAGAAGATCAAACCAAACCTGAAGAAATTATTCATCCGCAATGAATTCAGGTACGCTTCCGCATTAGTTTGGTTCTCGTTATTTGATCTGGATTAGGCTAAAGGATTTAATCCAACACGATAAAACTCTTCCGCTTTCTCTTTGTGCAGTGAAAGTGATATCAATGTGGTTGGGGTGCTCGATATACATTTGGACAAGTACCTTCATTAGTCATAGCAGCCCCAATTCACATGCAAAAGACAAAGGAATGAGACAACAAATAAGCCCCAATTCGATCTATTTTTGTAAGGAGTAACCAAGGGTCTAACTTGTCTTATTCCTTCACCCGAACTACAGAGCGGTAAGTTACCATGCTAGGAGAAATCCGACCTACTGGAAGACACAAAATAATATTGCTTGCAACATACTCCCTCCGTCCCATAATTATTGTCACTTTGGCAAAAAAATTTTGTCCCAAAATTATTATCCAATTTGACTTGTTATGGAATAAGTTACACCTTTGCCCTTTAATGTAGTGAATGGAAACCGTTTTATCCACACAACACAGCAGAACACAATTCAATAAAGCAAGTTTTAGAACTCAAAAAGAAAATTCATCTATGCTCATTTGGTCGCAAGTTTTAGAACTCAAAAAGAAAATTCATCTATGCTCATTTGGTCCTTCAAAATCCAAATCCATTAGTCATAAAGCCCTAAATCACATCCCACAAAAACAAACAAAAAGCAAAATCTACGGATTGAAAGATCAACTAATTTCTGTAATATATGATTATCAAACATCTAATCAAAGAGTACTAACAACGCCCTGAAAGTTAGATGCTTGAAAATCAAATTCCACAACTAGAAAAGAAAGAGCAAAAATCACCGAGAAGATGAAAAGAAAGCAGCAAAACTAAGCCCATACTCCGACGGCTCAAAGCGACAGTGAGAACAAGGTGACTGGTGGTTGTCGAAAATGAATACCGGGAAGAAACCCATAGTTTCAATCAATAATGGATTAATGGAGGAGTTTGAGGATAGTTGGAATCGAAGAAGGCACCATTCATTGGGCAATCAAAACTGTGGGAGGAGATTTTCTCTTGTTTTCTGTTACCCGGTGAGGAGTACGTGACCTCCTTGGTCGATAAAGCCGGTCAATATTTGCCGGCTACTAATAAGAGGATGAAAAATGGAGACTTAGATTTGGGTATCATGAAGGGGTATATCTGGAAATTTTAGCCAAAATATAGTTAAGTTTGACAAAAAATAAATTCTTTTATCTTGGTTAAACTGGACAATAATTATGGGACGAAGGGAGTACTAATAATGTCACTTTCTCATACACTAATAATATCACGTGCTTCAAAAAAAAAAAGTTTTACAAAATAAAGAGTCTTCACAATACAAGAAGAGTTTGACTTAATTTTAGTTAAAATTCTAAAGTTGAATTTCAATAATACGCAATTCAATACCACAAATATATATACAACCATAGCGAAAATATATAAACAATATTCTCCCTAGACGCAATAAACAATAGTAATAAAACCACCCAGGAAGAAACAAAACAGAATCTAGAATCCTTCTGGTCTGGTGGCATTAGACCCGCTGCATTACTCTTCAGCTCTAGCGGCCACTCGATCGAATCGACGCCCGAAAACGAGGGCTGCTCTTGAGGCCACTCTCTTGGACGGACGTTCATAATCGCGGACTTCTTTTAGGCGCTCCTGGTCTTCCAACGATAGCCCAGCTTCTCTTGGACGGACGTTCGTAATCGCGGACTTCTTTTAGGCGCTCCTGGTCTTCCAATGATAGCCCAGCTTCACGGAAGTGACGATTTTGACATTCTACTACATCATCATTAGAGACTACCAGAGTAATCCTGTCTCTTCGAACGTGGAAAACATAAAGACAGGAAAAAAGATACAACCATCAGCAGAGAAGATAGAGACATGGTAAATTGAAATACATGGAAAAGAAAAATAAAAGAGAGTGACCTTGTTATACTAAATTAGCAGAACAAGATAAACTATTAAGTCTGTACATAGGGAGTACAATCTTCGTGGTCATACATTAACGCGTTAGAATGAAACTGGCCAGGGGATCAAAACTCACCACTGACAAATTTACAGCTTTCAGGCGCGTCGAATGCTGCAAGAAAAAGTGCACGTTTGACCAACTCTGTAGCTTGAACCTTGGACGACCTGTCAATGTCCCTATAAAAAAAAAAACCAGAAAAAAGTTCAGGCAAAACTCCAAACATCGGATCTGAAATTAGAACCCGACAGAATTTAAAGCGATTCAAATGTGGAATCTAATTCATCAAGAAGTCCGAGCATGATCATGCGTAGGGGTAGTGTAATTATACAAGGGAGAGATGGCATACTTGCAAATGAATGAACCAGTGCCAGCGGAAGCAGATCCAGTTCCAAGCCACAAGCTTTTAAGCAGTTCCCCCTTACCATTAACTTTATACAGGGAAGGGCCCTATACAGAAAGACAAACCATGATCAATTCAACAAAAATAGTATGGAAAAACCAAAAGAAGAGAGCAATCCGATTTAGATTTACCGATGAGTTGTCCCACCCAGCGACTAGTATTCCTAGTGACAAACTGTCATCACTGTCAGGATGAAGAGACAGAAAGTCAGATAGCCACTGCGATACATCTGCAGCAGAAGCTTTTCTCCCTTCATTGAGTTCATGCTCACGGCACTGGAACACATACAATGTTGCACACGAATTATAGAAAACAATTTTTAGATTGCATCAAAAACGTTTACTAAACTAAAACATTAATGTTGACAGAGTACACTAGCAGCAAGTACCTACCTTCATTGGCAGACGATCGCACAAAAATCCTCGCGATTTTTCGTAGGTGTGGGTGGAGTACCAAAAGGTTATTTGGATATGATATGCTTTCATGATCGAGGGATACCATAACCATTTCTCTGTGAAAAATTAAACCCAATGCGGTGGTTCCCTTCTCAAACTTTGGGTCATCATGGCCCTGTGAACACCATCATCATACACAAAAAATAAATTAATTAAAAAATAACAAGTGAAAAAAATAAAAAATGTTTATCCATTTTTTTTACCGCTTTAGGTACACTGGGGGAGGTAAATATTTATCCATCATTCTAAATCTTCAATACGAGCAAAAGAAAACCATATCAGACGGAAAATAAATCAAAGTAAACTCAATTGATGTATGCGGATCCTTTCCCTAATTGTTCCCAATAGAATCCATTGAATACCTCACGAATTCGATCTAAAAACGAGCAGCAACAGAAACCCTAATTCGACGAATGAAAAAAGAGACTTCTTCGCCGACTTTCGAGAAGTTTCGTCAGAAGTTCCAGTGAGTTCTTCTACTTCTTTTTGTATTTAAATAATACTTACTTTTATACTTGTCGTTTTAAAGGAACGGGGCTTGTAAATTTGAGAAATTATTCAGTGTAGCTATTGCACCACGCAGGATTGTGCAGTCAGACATAATGATAAGGGTAAAGTAGTAATTTTGGGGGTAGAGATAATTTCTATGGAAGTTATACCACTAAAATAGGAGATGCTAGTACTTGCTACACTAAAACTCAGGATACAGCAGTTGTACCCAATTATTTTTCTGTAAATTTTATTCGGATTAAATACATATATGTGGGTTAACTTAGGTTCTATAAGATATTGTCATGATCTGGATTTATTGGGATCATTTTTGAGTTCAAAATTTCAGGGGATTAAACGAAGAGAAAGGGGAAGAAAAGGAGAAATTGAACAAATCGGGAAGAAGAGATAATTGGGAGAAAGGGAACATTTAGAGAGAAAAAGATTTCAGATAAAATTCATTAATTTCTTTGATAATCCGATTACCATTCTAAAGGGTAACATATAAAACATCTTCCATCCCAAAATTATTGTCCAGTTTAACTTTTCATTTTTAGTTCAAATTATACTAAAAGTGAAATTTCAAACTGGACAATAATTTTGGGACAGAGACAGTACCTAATAAAACAAATCAAGTACTATTTGATAGGGTATGTAATTAAGGAAACCAAATTAGAGTTTCCATAATAGTCGGCTAGGGTTTTATGTATCCTTGTGTATATATATATATATATATATATATATATATATATATATATATATATCTCAATGTACAACCAGTAATACATACAGAAATATATTCTTACATGATATCACACCTTCTTTCCTGGGCCACCAACTTTTCCTTTCTGTTTACTGTCTTCTGAAAAACAGCCACCTCAAACAGCCGCCTCTCTTCTCTCTTATAGGTCTTCTGACGCTGCTTCCTTTCGTTGACTGAAACGTTTTCAGTTTCCCGGCCTTTCAAAACCTCATAGTGCTTCCGCCGTAAGTTGTCTCTTCTGCTGTTCTTTCGAAAAATCCATCAAAAAAAAAAAAATTCTTGTTTCGCGTCATGTTTCAAAACCTCATAGTGCTTCCTGTTTCTGTTGTTTTCCTTCTTCGTCTTTTGCTTCTAGTTTTCTGTTTTGCATCTTCCGCTTGCTGTTTGTGCGTCCTCCTTTATGGCTCGGTCTAAAGAATCCACAACCACAGGTGTCAACACCACCCAAAACCAGCCGCCAAACCCCCCTCCTTCTAACACCTCTTCTCCGCTGTCTCATCTGGCCATTGGCATGTCCAACATCAAAAATTATGTTACTCCCGTCCTAGATTTCACCAACTATATGCTCTGGAAGGAACTCTTTCTTCCGGTTTTTCGCAGCCATGGTGTCATGGATCACATTGATGGTACCTCCCTCTGTCCGTCGTCGAGTCTTCCCGCTGCGGATGGTTCTTCCACTTCTATCCCAAATCCTGCTTTTCAAACATGGACTCAAATTGATTCCATCGTTCTCTCCTGGATTCAAGCCACAGTCTCAACCGAAATCTTGCAAGCTATAGTTAAACCAAATTCTAATCATACTGCTCGAGAAGCACGGTTAACTATTCAACAGCTTTTTCATGATCAACTTGGCTCTCGTCCTCTTCAATTGAAACTCCAATTCCATAGTTTAAAGAAGGGTGACTTATTCATTAATGATTATGTCACCAAACTTAAATCTTTTGCCGATTCTTTAACGGTTGTTGGTTCTCTAGTCTTGAAAACCGACTTGGTCCTTCAAATTCTTGCTGGCCTTCCTTCTAAATATCAATCTGTCTCGACCACGATTAGTCACAAAGTCCCGTTGCCTAATTTTGTTGAAGCTTGCTCCATGCTTTTCTTGCACGATATCCCTGCTACTCCTCCTGCAGCAACTCCGGCATTAGTTGCGGCTTCTTCAACTGAATCCCTTCCTACTTCAGCCGCCTCTCAACCTTTCACCAACAATCATGGTCGCGGTCAAGGTAGGTTCCAGAATTTTCGAGGGCGTGGCGGTCGCGAACGTGGCCGAAATCAATCTGGTCAGTATAATTCTTTTTATCCTGCTTACTCTAATTTTCAGCCTCCTATGTTTTCTCCCAGAAACTGTGCTCCTCCACTTCTTGGTCCAGCTCTCTCTTTTTAGCCGGGACAACTTGCTATTCGCTGTCAATTATGCACTCAAACGAATCACTCTGCTAGAGAATGCTTCCAATTTCGGCAACCTGCTTACTTTGTCGATCAATATAATCGACATCCTGCTCTTCCATCCGTGGATTCATCCTTATATATGGATACCGCTTGTGGTAACACTATGACTCCCACTCAAGGTATTCTCTCCAATTCAAAGCCTTATAATGGATATACCGGGGTTGTGATTGGTAATGGTAATATGTTGCCCATTAAATTTGTTGGCACTATTTCTTGTTCTTCGTTTAAATTTCCTCGTGTTTATTGTGTTCCTTCTATTGCAAAAAATCTTATCTCTGTTCATCAATTTGCTACTGAAAATCAATGTTCCGTTGAATTTGATCCTTTTGGTTTTTCTGTGAAGGATCTCTAGACGAGGATCCCTCGTCTACGTTGCAATAGCACTGGGTCCCTTTATACCTTTCCTTCTACCTTGCTATATCAGTCTCTTGCACCATCTTCCTTGTCATGTCTGGCGTTTGCTGCTCCAGTGTCTTCCCAAGTGTGGCATCAACGTCTTGGTCACCCGCAATCTTCTGTCTTGTCCAGTTTAGTATCCCGTCAGAGTCTTCCTGGTTCAGTGGTTTCGTTCAATAAGCTTCACATGTGTCAAGCATGTCAAATTGGAAAGCATCATAAGCTTCCTTTTCAGTCTTCGTCGTCTGTCACTTATAGTGCTTTTGATATTATTCATACTGATGTCTGGACTTCTCCTTGTCTTTCCTTTAGTGATTTAAATATTTTGTTCTATTTCTAGATGATTTTACTCATTACCTATGGGTGTATCCTCTCAAAAATAAATCTGAAATTCCTCAAAAGTTTGTTAAATTTTATAATCTTGTTCAAACTCAATTCCATTCTTCTATTAAGATACTTCAATCAGATGGTGCTACTGAATATGTTCATTCTCAATCTCTTCAAACCTTTCTTAAATCAAAGGGGGTCGCAATGCGAGTCTCTTATCCATACAATCCCCAACAAAATGGGAAGGCTGAACGGATGAATAAAACTATTCTTAACATGGTCCGTACTCTTCTTCATCAAGCCCACTTACCAAATGAATTCTGGGTCGAAGCATTAACCACTTGTGTTTATCTCTTAAGCCGGCTACCTACTACATCTAAGTTCGGAGCTGTCCCTTTCTCACTTCTCTTTAGTCGTCCACCTAATTATGGTGTACTTAGGGTTTTTCGTTGCTCTTGTTTTCCAAATCTCTCTCATTTAGCATCTCATAAGCTTAGTCCTCATTCAGTTCCTTGTGTATTTCTTGGTTATCCAAAATCATATAAGGGTTATCATTGCTTTGATCCAGTCTCTCAAAAAGTCTACATTTCTCGTCATGTCAATTTTTAAGAAACTTTGTTTCCTTTTCCTACACTATCCTCTTCGATTCAGCCCCTTCCTACCTCGGCCCCCTCATTTAAACATCCTTCCTTTCTTATTCCCAAATGCCTTCCAACTCCGCTTATCTCCTCTCCCAGCAAAACTCCTGTTCCAGATTCTATCTCTGGCACCCAAGTTTCCGTTCCTACTCAAACTTCAGCTCCTATATCCTCCGTTGCTCCCTCACATCCTATGGTCACCCGCACTCGGGATGGCACACAAAAATCCAAACAGATTTTCTCCCTCACTGCCACTACCAATTCTCCTTCTCTTCCCATAGAACCAAAATCTTTCACTGAAGCAAATAAACACCCTGAATGGCGTGCCGCTATAAGTGATGAATACAACACCCTTCTGTCTAATCATACATGAGATTTAGTCCCACTATCCGTGTCTGCAAATGTCATTGGTTCTAAATGGATCTTTCGTGTGAAACTCAATTCCGATGGATCCCTTTATCGTTGTAAAGCACGTTTAGTTGCTCAGGGTTACAATCAAAAACCTGGGCTTGATTATCATCAAACGTTCAGTCATGTGTTTAAACCAGTGACAATTCGGACTATCTTAAGTATTGCTGCATCTCGTAAGTGGCTCGTCCATTAGTTGGATGTTAAAAATGCATTTTTGCATGGCCATTTAAATGAAGTTGTCTATATGAAACAGCCTACTGGCTTTGTTCATCCAGACCATCCCCACTATGTTTGTCGCCTGAACAAAGCTCTTTATGGCTTAAAGCAAGCCCCCCGAGCTTGGTTTTACCGCTTTACTACTTTCCTGCTTACATAGGATTTTAAAGGCAGTCGCTCGGATTCTTCTATGTTTGTTTACACTGCTGGCACTGACATGGCTGTTCTCCTCTTCTATGTTGATGATATTCTCT